CATGCAATACTACATGCGTTTACATCTGTGCTATTTCAAAGGTAAAGCGTAAAATTCTTCATCTAACGCGACAATTGACCGGCGGCATCAACGCGAGTGATGCAGAAAGCCATCTCGTGGTGAAGTCACCATATAAAGAGAAAAATCTCAAATTTTTGACGTCACGTTGAGGTCACAATACGTAACTGCACATGATGAGGTCATCACATAACACCGTCATTTTGCGTTGCCTAAGTGATTGTTGCGCCGATCACGAAGGCAGTGCGAAGACATACGAGTCACAGAAAGTTTGCAATGCACCCTGCCGTGCGACGCACTGCAAAACCACTTGCGAATAGAGCGTCGGCCATCAATCAACTGACAAGCGGCGAATCGTGTCGGCGTTTCTAGGCAGTTTTAAAATACCGTTTGCAAGCGCTGCGGGCTTAGCGGGCGCCAGATGAGTTTTAGAATAGCGTTTGCCCTGCTGTGAACCGCAACGCACGATCGCAGCGACACCGTAGCCTCAAAACCAGCGCTTGCGGGCCACACGCAGGCCCGCCATCCCCGCACGCAATTTTGGATTTTCTGCTTTTCTGCGTGCGGTCCGCGAACGCGAACGCCGACTCACGTTACGACGCATGCGCAGTGGCAGCGACCACACCGCAAGGGCTCGTGGTGCCCTATTCTAAATGTCCCTTATATCCTTGCCATCGTATATTCTAGCGTTACCGTTAGCGGCGACGTAGGTTCCCGAATAATCTGTGACGTTCGCGAAGTGGGCGTAATTTAACAAAACGATCTACTAAAGCCTCGAAGCTTCTCGAACATCGTAGGCACGGTTCGCGCTTAACGTAGTGTAACGGGGTGATAACAAAACTTGAGGAAAGGAACGTGGCAATATGAAGAGCGCCTGTATTTAGAGCGCGGCTGTCGTATACCGCGAAAGCGTAGAACTGCTCGTGGTTAGCGCGTTTGATGCATATCTGAGCCTTTGTCAGTGTATACACACTTGCTACGCGCCATGGTGTACGAGAGGATATGCAGGCGTGCCAAAGTTGCGTCGAAACGTTGCCCGTTTCAGGAGCCTGCCGACCACACAAAAGAGAAAACGACGTACAATCGGAATTCGTACGAATCCGCCTAGCTGCTCACCGAGTGTTGTGGGGTTAGAGAACAGCGCTTTGAGCCGCGCTACATCGTGAATGGTTACTGGCGAACTACAAAGAGTGTAAAAGAACGAAAACCGTGATGAAAGCAAAAAAAAAAACTGTCGTTCTTTCAGCACTCTGCAATATCCAGAACACTGATCCTGATATGAGTCCACATGCGCTCAATCGTTTCATGACAAATGCGATTAAAAGTAACTTCGCCACAATTATAACGGTGACGACTCAGTTTCATTGCGCCAGTTTTGCGGAGGATCATAATTTTTTCGTGTTTTAAGCGCGTTCTTTTGCGCTACTGTGCATTGCTCATGCGGCGTTACGTTACGTTACGGCGAACGGCGTTACGTCCAAGGTACGAACTCTACACAAAAGGGGTTGTCTTAAGCATATTGAAAAACGCCGAGGTATATATAGCCCGTCTGTTATTCTGCCTCAATTCACTATAACCAGTTCTCATTTTTTTCAACAGCCTATATTGTGCTGCTTTTCAAATCTTCTGGGGGCCTAATGCCGTTTCAAGCCAACAAATGCTTGTTTGTTTGTGACAATGTTCGTATTATAAATGTAGTTTATTTGATTGTCAGAAGTGTCGGCAGGTGGTGCGGCTTCTCCAAATGCAGGCGCTTTTCACATCTTCAGTACAAAGTGACTACAGCGCCACCGCTACTGTCATCCGCAGTTAGGCCACCTCGTTTTGAGAAATTTAACTTAATATAAATACTAGCAAAAGTACACGCAGTTGTTCCACGTGCCCACCCCTCACCATTATTAATATCCAAGCAATGCTCTTTAGAGCACCCGCTATTTGTAAGCGTTGCATCTCCCGTCCGGCTACGCTAGACGAATTGCTTTACAGCGAAAGCTGCTATGATATCAAAACTCGGGTTTTGGCGCCATAGTTGTCCGCCACCGCCGCCCCTGCCGGCGCCGCCACCGGTTTCTGTAACCGTTTTCGCAAAAATGAGAAGAAGAAAACTAGTACCAAGGACACAGTGAGGCTCAAACCAAGGTCCGCTGCGTGCCAGCCCAATATTCTACCACTGAGCTATGCCGGTACCTGGCCCTTGTTCGCAAACTTCCCTCAGACAGGCTTCATGTCGGGAAAGGAATCGTGTTATTATGAGTGATAAAGCGTTTTAAAACATCAAAAGAACAACCATTCATCAAACAATACGAATAGCGTAACAAGTGCGCCGTCCAATGTTTCAACCCTCTACAAAAGCTTGTTCTTGATCACCTAATAACTGGCGCATAACCACTTAAGGCATAATCACTCATCGTTGTCAGCCACTGCATTAACAATTGGCACGAAATTCCTGACATGTGTTTAGCGGATACCACGCTTCTCATAAAAATACGAAGGATATAGCATGGCGAATGCTGGCGTATACTACCCAGAAATTATTATTAATAATGCCGCAGTTAATACCCAACAAGTGTCTTGCATCAGTTACCCAATGAGTGTTTAGAAGAGGCTCTGAAAGGCCGCTCTTCTAGCTTTCGCTGCTACTGTGCTACGCCTTCCACGCAGGCCTGGCGTTTTTTCAGACCTTGTATTGTCGAAAAAGTGAAAGTTACAATACACATTTGTAAAGAGACATGCTATATCCAGCTTCACCAAGGATAAACGTTCCGTGCAAGGCTATCCAGTAATTTTTTTTTATTTGGGGGGGGGGGGGCAGGGGGGTGCTGTGTGCAGAACAGCTAGCTTTGGCAATAGGTGTCACTGTGAATGCGTGTAACTCTTTCAGTATGCGCAGAAAACTTCAAGCAGGAAAAAATTTTGAGGTGGAGGGATTTAGACTCCCACTCTCTAGAGCCCCCTTTACTCACGGTCTTCTGGTTCGGTGTGCTTTTTACCGGCTATTTTTACTCCGAATAATTAGCATTGGTGAAATCGCCGAAGCCAAGTTGTTTTTAATTAACGTGTTACCAGCTATATTGGGCGACGCATTTCTGCTGATGCTCACAGTACAAAAGTACTTTGATGCACATGCTACGCTTAGGTAACGTGTGTATTAGTGCCGAGACTATAAAGTTTCACTGCGCCGATCAGGTATTTCTTTCCCACGCTTCTCATGCCTACAGTACCCTGGTCAACAGTTTAACGTACCTCAAGTAAATAAAAAAGTTTGATCTCTCACAAGAGCTATTAAGAAGCGGAGATTCAGTACTTTGACGTGCCATCTCTCAATGGATATGATGGCGTGTGCTAGACATAAATATTGGGCAGGCACCAAAAACGTTTCATCGAAAAAGCAAGCCGTGGCGATGCCTCCTCTAATTTATCAATGCCAGCCACATGCGCCCAATTCAGCCGTTCACCATCTTCTCCTCTAGCCCCTTCTCTGCTCTCACCCATCACCATCAAGTTAGAAGCAGCGCCTCGTGTAGGACTCTCCAACAACACACACGTGTCGGGTTACCAATTTTGCTGTCCGGGGTCTTTTATGGTATCTAAAACACTAGCGTATCAGTCACATGTAACTTCGATACTGCCCAGCACTGGTCACTGTGCAGCCACTAGCTTTGCCTTTCGCGTTGTCAAGGGATTGTGCACCAACTCATCCACCATAATTCGCCCCTCCGTCATGCTTGCTGATACGATGCATGTTATTTGTGATATGCGAGTGCTTTCACGCATGTACCACTACAAACGCAGCTTCATAACACCGGGACTTTATACTGAGGAATGAAAATAAAGGGCGTAAGTACACACCTCACTTAACTTGTAATTAGTTTGTCCTTGCGCCGTGCCGAAACTACCTTAGCTGAAAGGCTGTCTCCTAGCTCATCTACCACAATAGGTGGCCCTGCTGAAGCCCAGTCGAAATAGTCCAAAATAGATCACACAATTAGGATTTTTGGAAAAGCCGAACAAATGAAGAGTTTGTCTAGAGCTCGTAAGGAAGGGCCAAAGGTATTCATACGTTTGTCTTCCTGCTCAAGGTATGTACATACAGCCTGTTAACCAGTACACGTAAATGAAATTGCACCTTTCACTTTACACACATTATAAACTTCCATCATTCGCGCTTCCCCCCTTGTTGGGCATTTCACTGAGTATGACCATTCTAAAACGTTGTTGCTTTTCCTTCGTTGCCACCTTTCTTGCTTTATTTTATTATGAGGTTGATAAGGACTGAACTCTCTTGCAACTCACAGTTTAACGATGCCACTTCGGACGCAAATGCATCCTAATAATGTTTTTTTTCTCCATGCAAACCGGGAGCTGCAAAGTTGGCTTTGATATCTTTGGAGATGATCCTACGCATGAGCTTTATATTCGACTACAATTGACACTGCTGATTTTGCCACGAACGTCATATTCGGAACAGCAACAACAATATTCGCAGGCCTAAATAAGAAGGTAACCGAGCATGATGCGCGACATAACAAACGAAATCATTGAAAAGACAAATAAATAGCTGTGACGTCACAGTAAATGAGCTATTTGTTTTAGTATTCGCTATAGTTAACCTTCACTTTCTAGACGGAATTTTTAATAATGGGTCATTGATACAAGGCTAACATAGCCACATGTGGGCGACAGCCTTGAAAGGGGTGTGCCTGAAGTGATCCAACCAATCTGGAACTACGTCTTCATCTCGGGAACTGAGGAGAACGGATGCTCCATAAAGATCCATAGCATAGACGGTCGCCGTGAATATTGCGTAATGAAAACCATGTAATAAAGTGTTGTCACGCTTCTCTTTATCCACCATCGTATTTGGCTATTCCCCTTCATCCTGAAGCACCATTGCCTGTGGTTCGATGTTCCCCTTCCAATCATCGCTACCGGGTGGTCTGCTCCCGCAGTAAGGCAGTCGCAACACAACAAAACGCTGGGCCAGAAATTGAAACTTTACTGCAAGTTCAAGTATTAAAATTTACGAAACTGTGAAAACAATATACAGTTCACGCGTCCAGTGACATAATAGCAGCCATACATCTGCAGCAAGAACAGTAAAAGCTATACTCGATGACCACACGAAATAAAACATTCGGTCTTTGATAAGATAAAACATAAGAAACGACTGTAGATGCGCCACTCGAGCGGTGATGAGACGCTCAGCTGGATGGCCCACTTTCATCGCCTTCAGACAAATCTGGTATCTCTCCCCAAGGCTGGTATCTCTCTTCGGGAGCTGTGAGGCGGCTGCAGACGATTTCTTTAGATGTTGACTTGTATTCAAAGAGGTACACAGTTCTGGGAGTCAGAAAAGAGGAGGATCAGACAATTACGGAGGAAAATATCACAAACATAATAATTCTTATCACAAGCATTCTGCCTAACGTGGCCCCCTTCTGCCACGTTAGACATGGTATTGCACAATCTTCGAGGCCGGCCTACGTGCACCTGGTCAAATATGGGAACCTTTCTTGGTGAACCAAACTCACTGTAACTTTTTTCTAGTCATCTATATATCTATGAATGAATACCTAAATCTATCCGTCTATTTATCTGGCCGCTTATGGCTCGCCATGTTCGTGGTCATCTCCTTCGCTTAAGACAAACTGAAATAGGCATATATGAGAACGTGAATATATGGTTAACACAATTCCCAGATGCTGACCTGAAAAAACTCAGCTGATCTTATATACCTTGGGAGTGAATGTTATGAGAAGCACTAAAATATGATGCGACTACGTTGGACTTTTTAGGTAGTGATAAAGATATGCACATATTTAAGAAGCAGCGACAAATATACGTAGAAACGCACGTACAGGGATAACGTTAAAAAACCACATATGTTTTATAGAACAACTTGTTTAGAATGGGGTAAGGATGCCGACAGCAACATTACAACACCAGAAGCAATAGGCTGATATTTATTGTTTGCATTCGTCGGATTAGCACTGCCGATGTCAACTATTTCTTAACGCTCACGCGTTAAAATTACCGCTGTCTGTAATCCTCGTACCTGGGTACATTGAAATTGCCAGTCACCAGTTTATTTATTTATTTATTTATTCGAATACCCTCAGGGCCCGTAGCGCATTACAGAGGGGGTGGGTACAACATATATAACACACAAGAAAAAAAACAAAATAAAGAAACAAGTATCAGATGCGCAAATCAGGAAGGCAACATAAGTCAACTAAAAATGTATAAGAATTCAAGCACATACAAGACAAAGATAGATAATGTAAACTGCGTATAGTTACAAGCATTGCTGAGAAATTGCAGTCTTGAATAACAAAGGGTCTGTTATTGATACAACGGAAGAGGGATACCTAAATCTATCCGTCTATTTATCTGGCCGCTTATGGCTCGCCATGTTCGTGGTCATCTCCTTCGCTTAAGACAAACTGAAATAGGCATATATGAGAACGTGAATATATGGTTAACACAATTCCCAGATGCTTTACCCATGGCACATACTCGCATACATGTGAAATATTCCGACCTGCGGGCACGTGTCACCCATCTGGCGGAAAGGATTTGAGCACGTATTGTTCAAATCCTTTCCACAAGATTGTGACTTTCATGTCTCAACCAAAAACCATCCTGTCATCGCGTACTAATTTTGGTTAACCCCAATTTAAGGGGGTGATCGCGAAAGCACCCTAACGTAGGCATCTAGGCACACTAGCACAGACAGACAGACAGACATATATATAGACATATGTATATATATATATACATATGTCTTCCTGATGAAGGCCAGACTCTAGGCCGAAACGTCGAAATAAACCACGTTGTGACCGCTCACGGAGGATCTACTAGACTATATCTATCTATCTATCTATCTATCTATCTATCTATCTATCTATCTATCTATCTATCTATATAGATAGATATATAGATAGATAGATAGATATATAGATAGATAGATAGATATATAGATATATAGATATATAGATATAGATATATAGATATATACATAGATACATAGATAGATACATAGATAGATACATAGATATATACATAGATACATAGATAGATACATAGATACATAGATAGATAGATACTTGGGCTAGTTGGTGATTGGGAATCAACATATCTGCACAGTGCAAGACTACGAGTAGTTACGACGTAACTACAGAAGAAGAAACAAGGACATGAAGAGCACCGACTTCAACTGAAATTCATTAGCGAAAATGCTGGAAATACATACTCGTGACAGAACATCACCGCGCAATCGCGCAACCTATTGCATCAGAGCAAGACAATCATCATCGGTTACAAAGCCACAGCTCAGCACAAATTCACGATCTGTTGTGCCAAAGCCAGAAACTCAATTTATTTTTTAATCAGAGCAAGCGAAGGCTTGCTGATACATCGATTACCCAGAATTTTCATTTTATTGGCCTCCATTATCTCTCGTGTTAGCAGGTGACGGTGTTTGGCAACAACAGTGCACTTTTCGAATTTTGTCGTGCAACCATATTCTCTACAATGAATGCCCAAATGACCTTGCACATCTGAGTGTACATTGTAATGATGCTCCTTTAGACGCTCATTCCGTGACCGGCCCGTTTTTCCAACATATATATTGCCGCATGACAACGGGAGCGAATAAACGACGGCTATCGCACATGCTACGAATAGCCTTCTATGTTTGATTGTGCAGCAGCTCCTTCGTGCGGACTGCACATTCACCCGCTCGTTTGCAGAGTGCTGAAAGCTTTTCTGGGGCACAGAAAACCACCTTCACGTCTACCTTATCACCTATCTTTTTCAAATTGTGAGAAATCCTATGCCTTCGCTTGCTCTGACCTGCCTTCGCTTGCTCTGACCTGCCTTCGCTTGCTCTGACTAAAAAAGAAATCGAGTTTCTGGCTTTGCCACAATAGATCGTGAATTTTTGAGCTGTGGCGTTATAACCATATAATGAGATGATGACTGTCTTGCTGTAATGTAATAGGCTGCGCGATTGCGTGGTAATGTTCTGTCACGAATATATATTTCCAGCATTTTCGCTAATAAAATTTCAGTTGAAGTCAGTGCTCTTTCTGCCCTTGTCTCTTCTTCTGTGGTTACGTCGTAACCACTCATAATTTTTTTCTGTGCAAATGTGTTGATTCCCAGACAGCAGATATTTTTAATGTTAGCGCATGCATGATCACAAGAACCACATGGAAAATGTTGATATATGGAATCGCTCGAAGAAAAACACTATGCTCTCTGGACCAAAGGTCCCATCACCGACAACAGTGATAACTTTTCTCAGTCAATTTATTCCCTGAAAGCACAGGCGCCAGAACAAGCGCAAAGTATGATGCATTTTACTGCATTCAATCAATTGTTGTCGTTCGGTCCTTTGTGTGCGACGTGAGTTTTTATAAGCGGTACTTTTAGCAAAACAAACGTTTAAAAATGAGCATCTCCCCATACCAAGACAGTGATGTATAGCTAGTGAGTCTGTTATTCAGTGTCTACTTCATACCAGAATCTGGGCTTGCGCGGTACGTGTGCTTTCCTTTGGCCCATCCGCACTTTCTTTGGACTGTGAAGATAAAAGCAACGAGTGTTTCAAATAGAGCGCGTATCGGATTCACGTCCCAAGAAAACTGAGGCTATGGAAGACGTCATAGCCGATGTCCGCAGAATCGCGACCATGCTGCCCTTCTATGATGCGCACTAAAACAGTAAAACACACCATTTCGCCTCACTCGAAATGCGACAGTCAATCCCGGGATCAAACCCACAACCCTCGCGACAGCAGTGAGCACCAGCACTGTGCTATTGTGGCGGCTTCCCTTTCTGTAGACGATGTTTGTTCATCCCAACTGCCCTAGCCTACGAAAAGTAGCTATGTTAAAGTTTGCAAAAGCACATAATGTACCTACTCAGACAGAACTTCAGTGAATAAAGCATCGATGTTCGTTCGAAATGCTGGTTGCAATCGCTTTGTGGTGCGTTCGCAGGGTTCACGACTGCAAGCTACAATTCCCACTTCGGACACCTTGGTTGTAGACACATGCCGTATTTGAAAATAGACTTTACTTTGAAAACTTTCTAGGAAGTGCAAATTTCACACTACAAATCGAATAATTAAACAACATAACATGCACCAGAATTACCGAAAAAGTAAGCCTAATTGCAAAAATTAGCAGGACTTGTTACTTACTTTCCGTCTTCATCTGTCATGTGTTGTTTGATGAATGAAAGGAAGCAATCGCCAAAGCGCCAGCATACGTCTTCTTTCCAGTTTTTCTGTAATAAAAAGAAGAGAGAGAGAGAAGTAAACGTTTATTTTGAAACAGTGCCCCGAGCAATGCCCGGTGTCACCCTGAGGTGGGAGGGCTCCTTAGTCCAGGAACCCTCTGGCTTCTACTGCCCTCTTGGCCCTGGCGACAAGCTGTTGTTGCTCTTCCAGGTCCTCGAGGGCGAGCTTCGCCTCCCACGTTTCAATAATTGTTTCTGAAGTAACACACGTAATGTAGACCGAGAATTAAGTGAGGCTAAACACATTGTCTAAGAAACAAAGTACAGTGGAATCTTCATAATATGATCGCAGCTCGTACTACTTTCGGGGTTTAATACATTTTTTTTCAGTAGTGGCCAAAGTCTAATAGACTTTGGCCACTAATAGCCTCCAATGTAATAGGGTACGCTTGTTACGAACCGTTCCTCCTTCGTGACATTTGATACCAGCCAATGCTTGATTGACATATGGGGTTGAACGAACGAAAACCACTATATGATTATGAGACACGGCGCAGCGGATGACTCCAGACGTTTCGACCATCTGGTGTTCTTTAACGTCCACCCAAGTCTGAGCTCACGGGCTTGCATCATTTGCGCCTCTATCAAAAATGCAGGCGCCACGAACAGGATTCGGTCCCGCATCCTGCGGATCATCAACCGAGTACCTTAGCCACTACACCACCGCAGCGGGGCAGCAACGCATGCTACCGCGCAGGGTAGAACCTGTACTTTCCGCGTACTCGCGGGAAATACGCTTGCGTCGCGTTGCCAGTTTGTCTTCCTCTCGTCTGAAGACCGGGCGTTGCAGCTTGCTACGGTGACTCGGGCTGGTGACATCATCGTGGTGAGAGGCATGGACATGTAGACAGGGTGGGGGACCACGCGGTGGTCCAGGGGCCCCGAGGGTTGTAAACACACTTGCTAAGGAAATTTTCCGGTCTGTTAAGATCGAGCGTAAATTGGCCATCAGCGGCGCATGGCATCATCTATGAATATAGAGTGCCTCGATGTCACCCTATCCGAGATTCTGAATGCGAATCTAGGAGGCCCCTCGCGTGGTTTCATCTTTAGTTTACAGATGGCAGTTATACCAATACGCATCGACGTGTGCTTTTGTGATTGGCGCAGCAATGATGCACTGTGTGTGGACATGTTTACCACTTCAATTCATACCGTGTCCTCGCAATCAGACACCTTATGAATTGTGGAAGAGAGCTGAAAAAGGGAATGGTCTTGGCGAAGGAGCAACCCCCTGTAATGTCCACATGCATGAGTTTTGGAGACGCGCACTTCTGCCAACTTTTCAAATTGCACTGCAGGGACACAATTTGGAGCAAGCCTATCGAGTAAACTTCTCGCCAGCAAATATACTGCGTTAAGAAAGAAAGCAAAATAAGACAGCTGTACTAAAATTTTCTGGCCTTCATCCATCGTGAGGACAGCACTCCTTAAGTAGCTTTTGCCGCAGTGTTATGGTATCTTGGGTAAAAGCGTACTACGATACTACTGGTCAGGGGTCGTAAAGCATCTGGTTCCGCGCTCTCACGGCACAATCACGACTAAAAGTATGATCCTTGACGTCAAGCGATTCACTAGCAATCATTTAGAGGTGCTCGTTATGTTTCGCGGCACTGACAAACCATAAATGAAAGCGTACGCCAGCTTTCTTTTGTCGCAGACGTGTATACCAATTTTTCATGTTTTTAAGTGCTTAGCCAGCAAGCGTCTATTGCTCGTGGCTTGTGCGGCGGTGGTAGCCAGCGTGTGTACCAGTGTTGCCATTGTGTGATCACCGGATCAGTCGCCTCTCCGGTGATCCCAACAATGCTCGCTTGATGACGCACCGCCACACAAGCTGAGAGGGCTCACGCCTAATGTAGGCAATGCGAGGTCGAGGATAAAATGAGGAAAATGGTGGTCACCCAAAGTGAACTGATGATGATAATCGTACAGCGGGATATCACATAGCTGACAGAGCGAGAAAAAACGAGGGCTATGAGAGTAGAAAGGCTTAGGTCAGCCGAGAAGGCACTAGCGCAGGTGGACAAGATAAAAATGGAGCAGCCGATGGTGAAAACGGTAGGGCACTGGCAACCAGATCGGCGGAGAACAAAGGGGAAACAGACTCAGAAAAAACAGGTTAAATTTGTTCAACGGTCACAAGACCCAGCTTCCGCTAAGCAGTGGTGGGATGGTAGGAGACAAAGCAGCCAGCGTTACGAGCGCAAGTAGCCTCTAGGGGCGGGGCACTCCAGCAGAAAAGTCACAGCACGTGATAATCACTAGGGACTCAATTTAAAATCGATGCGCAGAAGAAATCAAAGGGAGGGTAAGGAGCCACAAGAGCGTTTCATTGGGGACATTTCCAGGACATAAGCTGGCAGCAGTGATGAGCCAAGCGAGCGCAAAACTCAGAACGAAAGCTAAGGGACGAAACCTCGTGATAATTGAAAGTGGTCTAAACGATGTCTTGAGTGAAGAATCGGCAAGACTAGCCACTACATTGGCGAAAGAGATCGATGACATGTGCGTTATTTCCCCTTAGCTACAGGTAGTGGTATGCACGATACTAGAGGAATCGGTGCGGGACGGCAACCTGCAAAAAGTGGTTATCAACGCAAACAAAGAGATCAGGTGGATGAGTCGAGATAAACGCTTTGAGGTAGTGAAAATATGCAGAGGTGCATAGGTGGGGTGGTTTTCAACGAGACTGAATTCGCTTCGATAGGAGGCTGGGTCATGAGGTGGGTTGGAAACTTGCAGGACGCGCTGTATTTTTTTTGGAGGGGGGTGGAATAGGAGGGCACGCGGGCCCTTTGCTCTCCAGGATAGCTAGGAACGAGGAAAACAACCAGGGGGAATCTTTCACAGGTGGTATAAAAAAACCAGAGAAAAAGTAAAGTAAGGTAGAAGCGCTTGCTTCATCTAGTCACATCACCGTGCAGGATGGCAGAAAAAAAGGCAAAATGATAAGAGATTGAGGAGCGGTCAGTAAAAGAACAAACAGGTGTGTCTGCGGTTACAGAAACACACCTTAAAAACTTGGAAGAGCCACCACAAATTCTGGTTTATACTTGCGAAGGATGCAACAGGAGCAGATCAGAAGGAAAAGTGGGGGATTGGAATCTCAATTGATAGTAAAGCCAAATAAAATAGAGTGAAGCAAACGTGTTCAGAGTACCTCTGGGTCTCGGGCACAGTAGGTGGGAAGAAAAGCTGGCTATGTGTAGCATACTTGTCGACGGGAAAAAAATACAAGGAAACGAATTTCGAGATAGTGAATTGCATAAGCACCGATATCAAAGAGTTTGATCATGGGATCAAAATAATCCTTCTATGAGACATGAATGCTCACAAACAAGACCCTGACGGATACTCACACACCAATGGCATGTTATTGCTAGATCTATTCGAGCAACATAATATTTAGATAGTGAGTGCGAGGCCTAAGTGTCAGGGGTAGATAACTTGGGAAGTCAGACGCTAGCAATCGAGCATTGATTATTGCCTTATGACAGAGGGAATCTATGGGAAACTTAGACAAATGGGAGCAGATGAGGAAGGCATTAACATCTTGCTTAGTCATCATTCCCGCACATCACAAACGGAACATAAAACAGACAATAAGGACATAGAGTCAAGGTTTGGAAGCTCGCATATAAGTGTCACACAAATAACAAATATTGCCGCAAACGTCGACGACGAATGTGAAAACTACCGGGCAAACACTGGGAGAATTGTGAGCTGTTACATGTAATGACGAGGGAGATGGAAAAATAGAAGGAAAATGTTTGCTGGAAACGCAACAGAAAGCCTAAAAGACGATGAAACAAAGAAATCGGGGAAAATATCGAGAAGTGACGTGAGGCATCACGGGAGCACCGACAGGCGAAAATGGAGCAGCGGCGACAGGGTAAAATGAACAAAATATAGTAAATATATTTAGAGAAAAAACCATTACGCAGAAATCGGTCGAGGCAAGCAGTATAGGTGAAAGTGAATGCTTGATGACAGAGATTTTCGAAAGAAGTCGTACGTGCCTATAATAATTATTTTGGAGCCACTTAAATATGCAAAGTAGGAAGTCTGTCATAATTGAACAACATATAGTAGATGAAAGAGAAAATTAATTGAAAGGTACAAAACACTAGGTTATATCCGAAAGGTCACAGCAGATTAGTTTAAAAAGGTCGCCCATGGGACTTTCCCGGTGAGAAAACGTATGGACAAGAGTGCAACCGAGGAAGTGGTAGTAATGGAAATTTTCAAATGAAAGAAGGCCAAAGGAAAAATTTTTCAGCGCACTATTTCGGGTTTAGGTAGGGATTTTCATCAGCCCATTTAACGAACTAGGACATTGCACTAAAAAAGCACTGCTGAAATCTGTAGAAAAATGCTTACAGAAGAAGGAAATACCAGACACTTGGCGTAAAAGTGATCGGTATTTCTGTAAGTTAAGCTATAAGGGCAAAAAGAAGAGGTTAACATTCGCTCGTATAAACCGCTAACCATTACATCTGTTCTATACAGGTTGGCGAGGCAGGCGGAGAGAGAGAATGAGAAACAACTTTATTCAAAACGGCAAGTTTCCGACAAATTACATCCTCTCCTCTAGATGGTAGCTTAGAGTCCTTGGGCCCTATAGCGGCATCTTCGGCTTCCCTGATAACTTGTAGCTGGTCCTAAATGTTTGAGCTAAGGAGCGCGGTGTCCCACTGCTGTGCGTTGCAATATTCGGTGTTTTGCCCATTGACGAGGTTATGGCAAGCCCAGATAATGTGATCAAGGTCCGCCCGCTGGTTGCAGAGTTTACATTTGTCAGAGCATAGATCTGAATAGCAATGACTGTAAGCAGTTGAGTTTGGAAAGGTGCTTGTTTGTAATAAGCGCCATGCTGCCGCCTGCTGTTTATTTAATGAGGAATGTGGTGGGAATGCTGGCTTCATAATCGGAAGTGTTTAGTAATTTCATTGTATGAGACCATTCACTCTCTCCACACGCGGGCT